CTCCTGGATTCTCTGACTTCGGAAGTGGGTGGAGTCTAGTGGAGCCTCAAACTGGGGCTGAACTTCATGGGTCCGAGGTAAGCAATTTTCAGCAGGCTTCCAGGTGGGGGGTTGGAGTGTGGCTGCTCCCATGAACCCCGCAGACCCGGGCTGAAGACCCCTGGGTGGTGACAGCGAGTTCTCTCCCTGCTCAAACCTCCTGCAGCAGGAAACAGTCTCCAGGATCGTGGACACATCCTCTGAGAATAAAATGAGGATATCATGATGAGAAATAGGGCTCTGTACCGGATCCGGGGACAGGGAAAGCTCCCAACCAGGATATGTAGCAGGAGCCCTCTGTTTTTCGCAAGAGCCCTAAGTGGCAGGACAATTGAACAGCTCTTACCTCCAGGAGGTACATGGGATCTTCCATCTGCGCCTCAATGGGACCCATGTTGCTTGGTTTGACAGGGTGAGATGACCTGTCCCCACTGCTCCCTGAGCTGGGCTGGCTGCAGGATCTGGGTGACAGGCTGGGACAGAACCTGAAAGACAGATGTGACAATCAGGGTTCTGTCACCTCAGGGGGAGAACAGAGGGTCTGAACCCCCAAGAATAAGCAATTGATTCAATGAAGAATTATTGTGCCCTACAGATACCAATCCATGAGAGGACCTTATGATGTAACTGGTTAAACACTGCTCTGCACTGACTGCCCTGACCACGGCTGGCCCAATGGCCCACCGCAGCTCCAGTTACCAAGAGAACTGGAACCAGAGGTCTTCCTGCTCCTGGGACAGAGGAGTAGGTTGAGGATCTACTTGGATGGGAGTGTTGGCCTTCCCCAAGCCCATGGTCTAGACTCCATTCAGGGCAGCGCACAGGAGCTACAATTCCTATTCTGGATCTAGGGGTGGTTTCAGTTTGCTGGCAGGAGACTGGACATGAGACCTTGCAGTTGCAGGGCGACCCAGGCACTAACATGGGCAGGGAAGTTTGAGGAACAGGGCAGAGGCCTGTGTGGGGCAAGGAGGGCAGGGATTTGGGAAGCAAGAGCAGAGGCTCACACACTTTCTTCATGTGGGACAGGATGATCCCCATTTCAGAGAGAGAAAGTGAGGCACCAGCGGGGAGAGTGACCTGGCCAGGATCATGTTCCCACTCAGTGGCAGGGCTGCAGTATAACCTGTTCCCTGCTCATCACTGGACCCTGCTGCCCCTTCTGTAGGACCCCTCCAGCCATCCTCTCCCCTAGGCCATCCTCACCCCCCTTTCCAGAATGGAAGCAGGCTTGTAACAGTTCACTCACCGCTAGGTGCCCCTTCCTGGCCAGGTCTGGGGTCACAGCTTTCCTGCTGGGCTAGCACCCCTACCCAAAGTGCTAGGGCACTCGGGCAGCTTTTTGCCTGGGAACTCAGCCCTTCAGCCAGGTGACCATCTTTTAGTCCACTCCTTCCTGGGTCGCTCGTCCCAAACGAAGAGTCCAAACATGTCTTTAACCAAAACAAGTTCCTCCGTCCCTTCGGGGCTTTTCCTCAGCCTGACTTTGGCTCGACTTGCCCTTGCTGGCCTTGGTAGCCCTTTCTCTGGCCTTGTACGTCCCCTTCCTTAGAGACCATGGGAGAACCATGGATTCTAGGTTCTGCCCCAAGGCCCTGTACCAAACAGCTAGGCCTGCTCCTGTACCTTTGCTGCGCTTTCCCCGGGCTTTCCCCTCAGGAACCCTAACATGCGCTGACCTTAGAACCTAACCCCCACGTAAGATGTGACTCCACTGTATATCATTTTTGATAGTTTAGTGAGGCTCCAGGGGGAGGGGAGGTGGAAGGGGCTGGCCTCTCCTTTTGCCTCTCAGTTAGGGCTCATTCTATAATCAGTTTGGCTAGGCCCCAGGCTGTGCAGCCCAGGGAAAATCACCCTGTTACAGTCCTGCTCTGCCCACTCAGACTGTTCTTGGCCTGGGGTCCTTGCTCCCCATTTCAGAGCTGGTTTCCTGAGGGACTGAGGAGACACAGGCCCCACTGCCTGGAACTGGAGTTTGCTCGTTCTGGTGACTCTGACATTCAGAGGCTGACAGGTGTGGTGAGGGGGCTGGAGAAACCCCACTGCTGTGGAACGTGGAGCTGGAGACCGGAGATGCCAGGTGATCAAGACTACCCGATGCTCTCTTCATGCCCGAGGGGCTGCAGTCTCCTGCCAGAAATGCTCTCAGGAGTCCAAGTTCAAGGACGTCTCTGGAGAGCCCCTTCCTAGGAACAAAACCAGGGTGGTAGGATGGAGAAGTCTCTGTCCCAGAGCTAGGAGCCAGGGACAGGGGAAGCTCCCTGACAGGCTATGCATTGGGGATGCCATTTCTCCCTCAAGAGACTCACACGCCCCAAGGAGTAAATGGCTCTTACCTCCAGGAGGGACTGGGGTCTTCCATCTAAGCCTCTTTGAAAGCCGGCATTGCTTGCTTGGATGGGACGAGGTGACCCATCTCCACTGCTCCCTGACGTGGCTCAGCTACAGGATGCGCCCATCTGGGAGGCTGTGCCAGATCCCAGGGCCTGGAAGACAGCTGGGAAGGAGGCTCCTATTCCTGTCACGCCCTGATACCCCATA